GCCGGTCTGGCCTCCCCTGCCTGCTGCTCCTTGCTCAGGGGGACAGCGAAGAGTACCACTCCGAGGCGGGAATTTATGCACGACCACCGCCTGGAGGATCAATTTTCGGGGACCCCTGTAGCGGTGGATACGGATATATTCAGGCCTCCGGGGGGTAATACATATATATATATATATATCTATGTATATGTGTATATATATACACATACATATACATACTCATATCCATATCCAGCCACCGCCCGCTGGGGCACCAGGGCGTCGGTTCCCAGGCGGTGGATATGGATAGATCCCCACCTCGCAGACATAAACATTCAAACTCGGAAGTCCGTGCGGATTTCTCGGATCCGCGCTGGACCCCCTTGCTTGCCGCGCGAAGCGAGCGCACCAGGGGCGGCGCCGGAGGCGCCGTCAGGGGGCCCCAGCGCGGATCCGAGAAATCCGCGCGGACCTCCGAGTGTTTATGTTTACGGCATCCTTCGTTCCCCTGCTGCTGCTTCCCCGTCGGGCTCAGAACGCGTCGGCTCCTCGCTGGGACGCGTCGGCCACCGCCGCCGTCGCTGTGTCGTTTGGCAGTGGCGGGCGGCAGTGGCACTGACGGGGCGCGACGAGAGCACGGTCGGGCACGAGGGCGCAAGCCCAGAGTGCCCAGCTGGTGTTTCGGGGGGGTCTCAGCGGCCCCGCAGCAGGGCTCGTTTCGATTCCTCCGATTCAATTCGATTCGTTTTCGATGGCTTCCGATTCCGATTCGATTCGACTTGGGATTCCGATTTGGGTTCCGATTTTCTATTGGAGGCATACGAGGCTGCCGATCTCCGCCGATTCGACTTTTCCCGACTCGGCTGCCGATTTCCGCCGATCCGATTCATTTCGATCGCCCATCCGACTTATCGATTCGTTTCTGGGCTCTCCTGCCGCAATGGGTACCCACCAAGGGGTGTTTTGGAAGCCCGCCGAACGTTACGATCTGAGGGCCTCTTTCGAGCATTGCAGCGTCGCCCACATCGGAGTACGGTTGTGTGTTACCAGCTAGCTGGCCAATGTGTTCTTCAGTGGAGTCCCCGTCAGGGGAGCGTTTAGGTCTGTGCTCAGGGGAGCTTGCTGCAGCACCGATCAACGATATGTTGTTCGCCGAGCCTACATGGTAAGCTAACCAATTTTCGTCCTCCGTCTGTGCACTCCAGCTTCGGGTTCACCTTCAGCTGCGGGCTCACTGCGCAGCGCTTTCGGGGGCAGCTCGCCCGAGTCGGCGTTCTGCTAGCACCGATGCCTGCCTACCTCTCGCTTCCGCCTCCTCGCGCGACTCTGTCCTCCCCCACTTCCCCATCCGTGACCGACTCCTCCCCCTCTTTCCTCTTCGCCTCTTCTCGTGACCTGACTCTCCTTTATCTCTGGGATGCTGCAGTAAAACAAAGGCCACTGGTCCGTCTCCGCTGCGTTTTGCCACGGAGTGCACAGTCTACTCGTGAGGTGTTATGGTCGCCCCCTCCTCCTCCTCCTCCTCCTCCTCCTCCTCCTCCTCCTCCTCCTCCTCCCACCCCTCCTCCTCTGCCTCCTCCTCCACCACAGGTGTCCGTGACCTGCCTTCGGCCCCGCCCCGACCCCGGGCCCCCGCCGCCCCAGGACCCAGACCTGCTGCCGGCCAGGCCCGGGCGGGGCTGGATGTGGTACCCCGCCGAGGCGGCGGTGGAGACGCTGCCCAGGCCGTGCCCCCCAGGGGGGGGCCGCGACGCCGCCAGGCGCGCAGGCAACCGAGGCGACCAGGCGAGCCGAGGCGCACAGGCAAGGACAGGGCTCGTTTCGAGGCCTCCGGTTCGATTCGGTTCGACTTCGATGGCTTCCGATTTCGATTCGGTTCGGGGTTCCGATTTGGGCTCTGGAGGCACATTGGCCTCAGTTCCGCCGATTCGACATTTCCCGACTCGGCTGGCGATTTCCGCCGATCCGATCCATTTCGATCGCCGATCCGACTTATCGATTCGATTCTGGGGTCGCCTGCAAGGACTGGAGAACTCGGCACAAGCGATGACTCGTAGGGTCGTTCGTTCGGGGGGAGAGCGCGAGGACGGTCTGGCGGCAGGACAGCCTGTCGACTCCCTTGTTTCATTGTGCTCACACATCGTTTGATGGGGTTGTCGCTGCCGTGAAAAAATTAGGCGGCAGTGTGTTCCCCAATCTGAGTCTCTGCATGACTGTTGCTCGGGCTCCAGGGTCTCGGCTCCCGTGCCCGGAGCTGGTTCTGGAGCTCCGGATGCCAGCGGCACGACGAACTCGGGACGTCGGGGGTTTGCATCTTCGTTATCCTCTTCGTTGACTGGGCCCCCGACGGCCCTCCTCGTCGCTATGGTCGGACGGGGCTCGAAAATCGGATCAGGACGTGCTGGGAGGTGGGAATTGACGTTGGGCGGGCGCTGATTGACGAGTAGGCGGACCTCGGCATCCCAGGGAAGGTCGAGAGACGCAGGGATGTGCGCATTCTAGTTGTTTGCGATCGGCCCAGGGGTCGGTCGTGGGCACAGCACCACTTCCTTGATGCTTGTTTGACTTTTATGTCTAAAGAACAGTTATTCTTGATCCCCCCTCTGGTGCCCATTGTATTCTCTCATTGAAATGCCCCTCCCAGCGCTCGCACCTTGCCTTTAAACAGGGAAGTCTTGGGCCTCTAGGGCACCTGGTTCACGAATTACAGTGCCATTCAACACGTCTATCCCAAACCCTCGATACCCGCTCTCTTCGTCTTCGATCGTACCCCCTTGGGGGTGTATCTCTCTCACTTGCAACGTGCATTTCGCGCAACCCCTATGGCAGGGGAAGAGAGGACGGATGGAAGGAAGGGACAAGGGGGAGGGAGGAAGATGGAGCACGAGAAGGAGTAGCAGGAGAGGGGGGGCTGGGAGGAGAAAGCACGTGGCAGAGCCAAATGGGCCGATCGGGTGTGTGGACCCCGACGGGCGCGGGCCCAGGCGGCCAGGTCGAGCTGGCGGAGTGCTGAAGCGTGCGCCCTGCATGCATTGCGAGGAAGTCTCGAGCGATATCGCGCTTCCCAAGGACATCGCGAGACATCCACGGCGAGAGCGCGATTCCTGAGTGTCGAGGGCGCGGCGCTGTAAGGAATTGCGAGGAGGTCCAACGCGAGAGCGCGAGTCCTGCACACACCGTGGGGAGGTAGTGCGCGAGAGCTCGGTTTCTCAATAAGCGGTGGGGAAGTATCCGGCGGGAGCCGTTGAACATTATTAATTCTAAAGAATAATTATTGTTGGGCCCCCTGGTGCGCGCCCCCCCCGCCGCGCCTAGGCCGCAGCCACGTTTTCATCATTTTCGTGAGGAAGCCTCAGGTAATTCGATGTCAAGATCCAGATCCTTTGTTTTGTTCCCCCCCGCTTTCCCTTGCAAAAAACACTATAAAATGAAATTTCTTGTTCAAATATAATCAAATTTCAAGAATCCCTTGCAAAAAATAAGGTAAAGTGGACATTCGCGCGCGCAAGACGAAATCCTTCCAAAAGCTTAGTGTTCGGAGCGATTTTAACATAAAAACATCAAAAAACCAATGGTTTTTCAACAAAAAAATGTCAAAATCTCATCCCGCGCGCTCTTGCGGATTCGTAGGAAACCCAACACTTTTTAAACATTTCTGTCAAACGGGCTTTTGCGAGCAACTTTTTCGAACTTCTGCGACAACGGTTGCGCACCTGCCAGGGCCATCATCCCTGTCAAATAATACCATGCGGGACACATTCGTTTTTTCTTCGCGCGCGCACGCCGAAATCTCCAAAAACCATTGGGTTCTGTGGGTGTGTACCCCACGCCAGTGTAGTAGCCACGGTCGTCCGCACGCCACGAAGTGAAGTGTCCCAACGTCATAGGGCGGGAAGCTGGGTTTGGGTGGTCGCGAAGAGTCGTTTGGATATTTGGTAGAGCTTGTAATGCCCCCCCACGAAGTGGGGGTATTGCCTGGTGTCGTATGAAAACCCTGGCACTGGGGAGAACACCACGCGTTCGGGTAAAATGATTGTTGTTGTTGTTGTTGTTGTTGTTGTTGTTGTTGAACTCTCATTTCTGAAGAATAATTATTGTTGATCCCCCCTGTCGGGTGCCCATTGTTTTTTTCAATTGAAGTGCTTCCTCCGGGGCTCGCACCCTGTTTTTTGACAGGGAAAGCCTTGCGGATCAGATTGCGTTGTTGGGCCCCGGACTACAACAACAACGGCTCCCGCCTGAGTTTTCCTCACAATTTATTCAGGACCCCCGCTCCCGCCTGAGACATCCTCAAAATTTACTCCAGAAGGGCGCTCCCGCTTCAGACTTTCCCACATTTTATTCAGAAACGGCGCTCCCGCTTGAGACTTCCTTAATCAGGACCCCTGCTCCCGCCCGAGACTTTCTCATAATTTACTCAGGAATGGCGCTCTCGCTTCGGACCTCGCAATTTATTGCAGCATCGCGTTCTCGACGCTCAGGAACCACGCTCGCGCCAAGGACGCCCTCGCAATTTACTTAGGAATCGCGCTCTCGCTTAATACTTCCTCGCAATTTACGCAAAAATCCCGTTTGAATGTCCCGCCCGCCCGACCCGCCCGTCAGGGTCCGCCCGCCCGACCGGCGTTCCCGCCTGAGACGTCCGACAATGTACTCGGGACCCCCGCTCCCGCCCAACTCTTCCTTGAGGAATACGCCCTCGCCTAGGACTTCCTCGAACGTTCACACTCGTACCCTCCTGCCCCTCCCTCCCCATCCAACCTCCCTCCTCCCTCCCCTCTCCCTCATATCCACCCTCCTCCTCCCTCTTCCTCTCTCCCCTCACCCTCCTCCCATAACCCTCCTCCCTCTCTTCGCCCTCCCCTCTCCAGCCTCCTCCTTCCTCCCTCTGTCTCTCTATCTCCAATCGTCCCCCCCCCTCCTCGCCCCCTCTCTCCTGGCGTGTTCCCCTTTAGCCTCGTCCCTCCCCCTCCCTTCCTCCCACTCTCCCTCGTTCTCCCCCTTCCTCTTCTTGCAGGGCCCGCGCTAATTCCAATGGTGGGCAAAGAGATGCGTGCCCCATCCTCCGAATAATTCCCCGCCCGTTCACGCCCGCTTGTCTAAGCCCGCCCGCCCCCGCAAAAAGAAAGAATCCCCCCAGAAGGGGGTACGCTCGAAGACGAAGGGGGCGGGTATCGAGGGCGTGGGTATACACGTTGCATGGCACGCGGGCAAGTAAGAGCGAACAGTCTTAAAATGATTGTTGTTGTTGTTGTTGTTGTTGTTGTTGTTGTTGTTGTTGTTGTTGAACATTATTAATTCTAAAGAATAATTATTGTTGGGCCCCCTGGTGCACGCCCCCCCTGCGCCGCCTAGGCCGCAGCTACATTTTCATCATTTTCGTGAGGAAGCCTCAGGTAAAACGATGTGATCAAGATCCGGTTGTTTTGTTGTAATCCGTTTTCCCTTGCAAAAAAAACACTATAAAATGACATTTCTTGTTCTAATATAATCAAATTTCAAGAATCCCTTGCAAAAAATAAGGTAAAGTGGACACTCGCGCGCGCAAGACGAAATCCTTCCAAAAGCTTAGTGTTCGGAGCGATTTTAACATAAAAACATCAAAAAACCAATGGTTTTTCAACAAAAAAATGTCAAAATCTCATCCCGCGCGCTCTTGCGGATTCGTAGGAAACCCAACACTTTTTAAACATTTCTGTCAAACGGGCTTTTGCGAGCAACTTTTTCGAACTTCTGCGACAACGGTTGCGCACCTGCCAGGGCCATCATCCCTGTCAAATAATACCATGCGGGACACATTCGTTTTTTCTTCGCGCGCGCACGCCGAAATCTCCAAAAACCATTGGGTTCTTAAGAATTTTAGCACCGCCCATTGTTGGAACAGGGGTATAAGTCGTATACTAAGCTAGTTTCCACAAGATGTTACCACAAGAAGTCATTGTAACCATGCGCCAATGTAGTAGCCAAGGTCGTCCGCAGGCCACGAAATGAAGTGTCCGAACGTCATAGGGCGGGAAGCTGGGTGTGGGTGGTGGCGAAGAGTCGTTTGGAAATTTGGTAGAGCTTGAACCGGCCCCCCCACAAAGTGGGGGTATTGCCCGCCTCCTATGAAAACCCTGGCACTGGTGAGAACGGAGTGTCCCCAGTCTTAAATGATTGTTGTTGTTGTTGTTGGTGTTGTTGTTGTTGTTATTGTTGTTGTTGTTGTTGTTGTTGTTGTTGATCGCTTTAATTTGTATTGATCCCCTCCCTCCGGTGACCATTGTGTTTTTTCAATCGACGTGCTTCCCCCAGGGCTCGCTGGGGCGAACCGCCGCCACCACACTCACCAACCTTCGCTTCGCCGACGACGTGCTCTTAACCAGCCAGGCTCTCCCGCGCCTCACATCGATGCTCGAAGATATTGTGCGCGCGGCGCAACCGCACGGACTCGAACTGCACCCTTCCAAGACCAAGATACTGAGCAACCAAACGAGACGGACCAGCAGAGCGAGCTCGCGCACGGCGCGCGTTGAGGGCATGGACATCGACATTTTGCCACACGAGGGCAGCATCAAATACCTCGGCCAACTCATCAGCTTCCACGACGCGACGGAGACAGAGATCCACCACCGCACGAGAGCCGCATGGGCATCATTCACTTCACACAAACAGGAGCTGACCAGCAAGCGCTACCCGCTAGCACACAGGCTTCGGCTTTTCAACAGCACAGTAACACCGACGG